AAATGGAAAAATGTTCCATGCTCCTGGATTGGAAGAATAAATATTGTGAAAATGTCTATGCTACCTAAAGCAATCTACACATTTAATGCAATTCCTATCAAAGTACCATCCATTTTTTTCAAAGAAATGGAACAAATAATCCTAAAATTTATATGGAACCAGAAAAGACCTCGAATAGCCAAAGCAATATTGAAGAAGAAAGCCAAAGTTGGTGGCATCACAATTCCGGACTTCAAGCTCTATTACAAAGCTGTCATCATCAAGACAGCATGGTACTGGCACAAAAACAGACACATAGATCAATGGAACAGAATAGAGAGCCCAGAAATAGACCCTCAACTCTATGGTCAACTAATCTTCGACAAAGCAGGAAAGAATGTCCAATGGAAAAAAGACAGCCTCTTCAACAAATGGTGTTGGGAAAATTGGACAGCCACATGCAGAAAAATGAAATTGGATCATTTCCTTACACCACACACGAAAATAGACTCAAAATGGATGAAGGATCTCAATGTGAGAAAGGAATCCATCAAAATCCTTGAGGAGAACACAGGCAGCAACCTCTTCGACCTCAGCCGCAGCAACATCTTCCTAGGAACATCGCCAAAGGCAAGGGAAGCAAGGGCAAAAATGAACTATTGGGATTTCATCAAGATCAAAAGCTTTTGCACAGCAAAGGAAACAGTTAACAAAACCAAAAGACAACTGACAGAATGGGAGAAGATATTTGCAAATGACATATCGGATAAAGGGCTAGTGTCCAAAATCTATAAAGAACTTAGCAAACTCAACACCCAAAGAACAAATAATCCAATCAAGAAATGGGCAGAAGACATGAACAGACATTTCTGCAAGGAAGACATCCAGATGGCCAACAGACACATGAAAAAGTGCTCCACATCACTCGGCATCAGGGAAATACAAATCAAAACCACAATGAGATACCACCTCACACCAGTCAGAATGGCTAAAATTAACAAGTCAGGAGATGACAGATGCTGGCGAGGATGCGGAGAAAGGGGAACCCTCCTACACTGTTGGTGGGAATGCAGGCTGGTGCAGCCACTCTGGAAAACAGCATGGAGGTTCCTCAAAATGTTGAAAATAGAGCTACCCTATGACCCAGCAATTGCACTGCTGGGTATTTACCCTAAAGATACAAACGTAGTGATCCAAAGGGGCACGTGCACCCGAATGTTTATAGCAGCAATGTCTACAATAGCCAAACTATGGAAAGAACCTAGATGTCCATCAACAGACGAATGGATAAAGAAGATGTGGTATATATACACAATGGAATACTATGCAGCCATCAAAAGAAATGAAATCTTGCCTTTTGCGACGACATGGATGGAACTAGAGGGTATCATGCTTAGCGAAATAAGTCAATCGGAGAAAGACAACTATCATATGATCTCCCTGATATGAGGGAGAGGAGATGCAACATGGGGGGTTAAGGGGGTAGGAGAAGAGTAAATGAAACAAGATGGGATTGGGAGGGAGACAAACCATAAGTGACTCTTAATCTCACAAAACAAACTGAGGGTTAATGGGGGGGGTGTGGGGGGGTGGGATTATGGACATTGGGGAGGGTATGTGCTATGGTGAGTGCTGTGAAGTGTGTAAACCTGGCGATTCACAGACCTGTACCCCTGGGGATAAAAAGATATTATATGTTTATGAAAAGTAAAATTTAAAAAAAAAACAAAAAAAAACAAAAAAAATAAAAATTAAAAAAAAAAATCATATGATCATCTCAAGAGATGCAGAAAAAAACATCTGACAAAATTCAACATCTGTTCATGGCAAAAACTCAACAAAGTCAGTCTAGGGGTAACATACCTCCATATAATGATAAACCCACAGATAACATCATACTCAAGGGTAAAAAACTGAATGCTCTTCTGCTAAGATTGGAATTAAGACAAGGATGTCCAATCTCACCACTTTCATTCAACACAGCATTGGAAATCCTAGCCACAGAAATCAGACAAGAAATAAAAGGCATTCAAATTGGTAAGAAAGAAGTAGAACTGTCATTATTTGCAGATGACAGGACACTATACAAAGAAAACCCCGGACTCCACCAAAAAGCTATCAGAAGTAATATGGATTCAGTGAAGTTGCAGCATACAAAATCAATATATAAAATTTCTTGCATTTCTACACACTAATAACAAACTGGCAGAAGAGAAATTCAGAAAACAATTCCATTTACAATCGCACCAAAAAGAATAAAATACCTAGGAATAAACTTAACCAAGGAGATAAAAGAACTGTATTTTCAAAATTTTAAAACACTGATGAAAGATATACCATGCTCATGGACTAAAGAATCAGCATTTTTAAAATGTCCAAAACTCCTGAAAGCAATCCACAGAATGAATGCAATCCCTATTGAAACACCAAAAGTAATTTTCACAGAATTAAAACAAGTAATCCTAAAATTTGTATGGAACCATAAAAGACCTGTAATAGCCAAAACCACCTTGAGAAATGAAATAAATCCTGAGGTAACACAATCTTCAAGATATACTACAGATTTCAAGATATACTACAAAACTGTAATAATCAAAAAAGTTTATTAATGGCACAAAAGAGACACACAAATCAATGTGACACACTAGAAAGCCCAGAAATAAACCTACATTTATATGGTCAATTAATCTGATAAAGAAAGCAAGAATATGCAGCAGGGAAAAGACAGTCACTTCAATAAATGGTGTTGGGAAAACTGGACAGTCACACGCCAAAGAATGAAATGGGACCACTTTCTTATGCCGCACACAAAAATAAATTCAAAATGGACTCAAGAACTAATGTAAGACCCAAAACCATAAAATTCCTAGTAGAAAACGTAGCTAGTAATCTCTCTGACATAAGTCTTAGCAACATTTTTCTAGATCCATCTCCTCACAAGGAAAACAAAAACAATTGGGACTACACCGAGATAAAAAGCTTTTGCACAGCAAAGAAAACCATGAACAAAACAAAAGACAACTTATTGAACTGAAGAAAAATTTACAAATGATATATCCTATAAGGAGTTAATATCCAAAATAAAGAACTTACACAACTCGACATCAAAAATACAAATAATCCAATTAAGAACTGGGCAGAGGACCTGAATAGACACTTTTCCAAAGACATATAGATGGCCAACAGACACATGAAAAGATGCTCAAATTACTAGCCATCAGGAAAATGTTAAATCAAAACCACAGTGAGTTGTCACCTTACACCTGTCAGAAGGGGTACTGAAAAGTGAGAATTAGTAAGTGTTAGCAAAGATGTGGAGAAAAAGGAACCCTCATGCACTGTTGATGGGAATGTAAACTGGCGCGGCCACTGTGGAAGACAGCATGGAGGTTCCTCAAAAAATCAAAAACAGAAATACCGTATGAACCAGTAATCTGTTACTGAGTATTTACCTAAAGAAAATGAAAACACTAATTTGAAAAGATAAATGCACCTCTATGTTTAATGCAGCATATTTACAATAGCCTAGATATGGAAGCAAACCCAAGTGCCATGATAGATAAATGGATAAAGATGTACATATATATATAATGGAATACTGTTCAGACATAAAAAAGAATGAATTTTTCCGACCTGTAACAACATGGATGGACATAGAGGGTATTATGCTAAGTGAAATAAGTCAGACAGACATAGACAAATACCACATGATTTCACTTTTATGTGGAATCCAAAAAAACAAAACAAATAACTGAACAAAAAAAGCAGAAACAGAGGTGTAAATATACAGAACAAACTGGTGGTTGCCAGTAGGGAGGAAAAATGGGTTAAAGGGAGTATGAGATAGAGGCTTCCAGTTACAAAATGAGTAAGTCATGGGGATAAATTGTACCGCATAAGAAATAATACAGTCAGTGGTACTGTAACAGAGTTATATAGTGACAGATGGCAGCCACGTTTGTGGTGAGCACAGCATAATATAAACAGCTGTGGAATCGCGATGCTGTAATTTTAAAAAAGGAAAGGGTAGATAGCTGAATATAATCAGGACCACAGTTTTGCCAAGCAGGTACGATGATGGAACAAAGAGGTAAGGGACTCAAGAAGAGGAGCTACAGTGACACACTACGGAATCCGAGCAGATCGGTAAAGTAGTCAAAACAGGAAATGAAGAGAGCAAAAACACAGACGGACCTAAGGACTAGAGCACCTGATAAAGTTAAACTGCCTCTATGTTGAGAATGACTGAGTACAAAAGGAGAGGAGGTTATGGGCTAGAAAATAAAATGTCTGAATTTGTGATTTCAGAAGTAGAGCAGTTCTTTGTGACATCAAGGTACAATAGCCCTGGCTAAGAACACCTTAAAATTGAGAGAAGGGGGCGCTGGGGTGGCTCAGTCGGTTGAGCATCCGACTCTTGATTTCAGCTCAGGTCATGATCTCAGGGTTCTGAGAGCGAGCCCTGCATCAGGCCCCATGCTCAGTGCAGAGTCTGCTTGACCCTCTCCATGCCCCGAATGCTCTCTCTCTCACACATGTGTGCTAATAAATAAATAAAATATTTTTGGGGGAAAAAAAAGGAGAGATCAACTGGTAATACAGGAAAGTCGATAGGAAGGGAGAACAAGGCAGGCAGAAAGCATGCAATGGCAAGGTAGTCCGAGAGTTGCAAGCAGTCCGAATGAATGTAAGAGGGATTGAGATGAGGACGGAGAGGGAGGGAAGAGTCATGTAAGTCATATCTGAAACACAATCTGCTCAGAATGAGAACCATCTTCTGAAGGACTAAATCAGTGCAGTTCTAGGAACACAAAGGGTGGCAGATACATGGAAGCAGATTTCAAAATAAAAGAGGATGTCCTAATGTCCAATGATTACATAAGTAAGATGTCTTGAAAACTCTTTATGACTCAAGTGTTCAAGCAAAACTCCATGTTGCTCTGCTTGCAACGCTGTACAGAGGACCATGAAGTGCCTTCCAACTCCATGAAGGCAGTAAGAGAAGAAAAAACATTACTTACCAGTTCTACACCTATTACTCCTGCACCAATGACAACCATCTTCTCTGGAACTTTTTTTAAAGATAAAGCACCTGTAGATGACACTATTGTATCTTCGTCGATCTATAATAAAATATATACAATCAAGATTATTTGGAAAAACCTACTGAGTTATAAACTGACCCCACCAAAAATGCTAAGACATTTATTTGTTTTGAGGTATCTAGGACTTCTATCCATACACTCGATTTTATCAAATCCCATTAAACTGCTCACTTAAAATTTCATCATTTGGTATTTCAAAATAAAACGGTCAGTTTTAACTTTGTAATGAATTCATATCCATCTTAATTGAAGTGTTTTATTTCTGGTCAAAATCACTGCAGAATAAAGACAATCAACTTCCCAAAGCTGAACGACTGTCAATGTACAGTACTTCAGTTAGAAATTTCTCCAAGTTCATAAATAGCATGAATAGTTTATAAATGTCTTTCTGAAGGGAGGTTGTACCACATACCGTGATTCCAGAAAAAGGAGTAACCTCCGAACCTGTAGCTATAAGAATGTTCTTCGTATCAATAACTTGAGTGCTGCCATCGGCTTTCGTAGCAGTGACCTGATTTTTGCCAGTTATCTTTCCAAATCCATTTACGTGGACAACCTTTATAAAATAATGTTTATAGATTCACAAAGTTTAAAATGATTTTCATGATTAAAAAAACGTGACTAATAGGAAAAAAGTACTCTATTAAATAACACATCCAATACAAAATGCTTCCTCACTTAGTAAGGTTACACATGGAGCAGCAAAAATTTGTTCTATATGTCAGAAAATCTATTTCAGGTTAGCATACAATTTTAAATTAAATAAATACCCCCAGCAAAAAACCCTCTAAAAAACAAACAAAAAAAATCAGCAGCCAAGTTCTAACAGAACTGCTCTATGAGATTAATGCTTAATGTATACGTAAAATAAAGCAGATATCTGCACGTTAAACCACTGACCTTATTCTGTTTGAATAAGTGGGCAATTCCACCAGTTAAAGCTTTTACTGCTGTACTCTTCTGCTCCATCATCTTCTCCAAATTCAAGCGAACTTCAGACACTGTAGTTTGTTAAACAAATCTTTAGTCCTTAGCTAAATTCTTGAAGCAATAGGGTATTTTTCACTAATCACAGAAAACTTCAGCCTAATGTTTACAGAACTGGATAAAAGGCAGTATTAAAACTTTCAAGTATAGTAACTAATACAATAATTGTAGCTTGCAAAAAGACTAAGAGCAACATCTCTCAATAAATAGAACCTGTCAAACACTGCAGAAAGTCCACCTTTGGGAAAAATTCAGTCCAAAATAAACATTATATCCCACTGTAGCAAAATATTCTAACAACTTATGATGACAGGTCTAGATGAGATTTAAATAGAAACAGCAAAGTAAAACATCATCTGAAATTATAAGTAAAAAGAAACAATAATTTCATGAAACAAAAACTAAAAAAAACACTCAACTGAAAACGTTAAATATAAAAACTTAATATAAAAGAGTTTAATAAACTGGATTTAATCACTCATTTAACTTAGAATTCTGAAGCAAGAGTGTAAGAAGATAAAGCTGCTCAACTCAACACAACTTCAGAAGAGGGATAGCTCAGCAATCAGCACATGCAACCAACACAAACCGCAGAGATGAGGAAACACAGACTCTGAGAGCCTGGACTGACCTGAGGCCAAAGAGCTACAACAAGAAGCTCTGCCTACCTTGCGGGTCCTCTTGACTAACCCTGTCTCCTCTTTCTTCCTTCTTTCCAAAGGAATGTAGGCTTTGACTCTACCTTTCATCTACTTTGATCTATTTGCTTTAGTGTGTACGTATCCCCTTCATACCCACTGGATAGCCTACTACAGCCCATTCTTTCAGAAACCTACTGCTACAAACAAATGAAGAAAAATAATTACCTATCCCCATCTCCTGATATGTTTAAGCTCTCCCTAAAACCCCAACCCTTCTGGATATATCTGTCAACAATTGGTAAGAAAGGATGAAATAAAAACAGCCCAAAAAGAATGGCAAGAGATAAGCCATACAAAATTAAAATGGAATGTCCTCCTTTTACACTGTGCTACACCCCACCCCTCCTTTGTTCTTCCCACTACCAAAAACTTAGGTAGACCAACCTACCTTCCTTCTTTCTCTGCCCATAGCCTTCAGGAATCCCATGCCAACTCCCCACCCCGAGATCTCCAGGTTTCAGGGAAATTAAAACTGACTTCACACACACACACACACACACACACACACACACACACACACACACAGAGCAGACTTCACACCAAAGTTTTCAAAGGAACAGAAGATGTCATAGTAAAAATCTGACTTAAGCCCTCTTAAGTAAATCTCTCTACATTTTTAAAGATCTTCTTTTACTCTTTCCTCAACAAAACATATGTTACACATTCATTAGATACACGTAAAGCTGTAGCCAAAAGAGTCAAGTCAAATATGGCTGGTAAATTGCTGAATATGAAAGGTATACTTACTTTCAATTCCCCTAGATGCAAAATCTTTTCCATGGGCCATATGATAATAATGAGAGTTATTTAATAAAGCCTAAATAGATAAAATGATCAAATGTTGACAATAAGACTACATACAATCAAAAAGCAATTAAGAAATGACATTCTCTACATGGAATAATACAAGGACTGCAACAACTCAAGTTTCTGTTCTTATATTATTAACGTAAGCCCAATAATAAAGATGTAAAAAACGCTAAACAAGCAGGAATGAAAAACAAAACATCTTCACTTCCTTTAAAATCAAAGGAGTAAGTACACTCTTCAGGGTGGCAGGTGAAAAAGGCAGTCATGTCTACATACATAAAACCCCTAAGGGAAGAATTTACTACCTACTGTCTGTTTCACTGGTAAAGGAAAGCTGAAGAGAAAAAACGGAGCACCACAGCCTGTTTGAATGGAAAGGCTGGGGATTTGAAGACAGAGACGCAATTTCAGGAATGTATGGCAGACTGGTGACAGCACTGTTTAAGCTTTACCAAGGAAAACACGTTTTTTATTATCAACCATGGTTGCTTATTTTCTAATAACTATTATCCTAATGTTCTAGTCCTAATACATCCTTCTAATCAGTGGCTAATGAAAAACACCTCTGTACTGTACAAAACACATGCTCACCTTAGAAGGAATACAACCAACATTCAAGCACGTTCCCCCAAGCGTCTCATTTTTCTCAACGCAGACTGTCTACAACCAAAGAAAACATTATTTAACTACTTATAACCTGCAGTGGCTCAATTCATAAAATTCCCATACATCTGTCTTAATTCTTCTACAGAACAAGTTACTGAAGCTGTTTGTAAGGATGAAATAGACTCCTTTAAAATATATCATTTCAGAAATAATGCTAAATGCAGGCTCACCCAAAAATGAATTGTGCTCAGAGACATTTTTGCCTAACATTATCAAACACATGCCCTTAGTCCTATTACTGTAGCTTCCAAAGCAGAATTAGAAGCCAAATGTACAAAGTATCGGGGAGAGGAGGGAATAATGGACCTCACTATTTCATGAGAGCACCGCAACTGAGTAACATTCTTCATTCATCTCAGGCCTGTATTTAATTTATAGAATAAACAAAAATTTACCATTACTATTTATGTGCAAAGTATTCTGTGAATATGATCAACTCTTCTCCAATAAAAATGTATCAATACCTCATTTAGTCTAAACCTTACCTTGAAGCCCAACTGGGCAGCTTTGATAGCAGCGACATATCCTCCAGGACCAGAACCTATCACTGTCACATCAGCATCAACTATAATAAAAGCAAATTGATATAAACAGTAAATTCCTTAATACTGACCAACAACAGTGCATTAAAAAAACAAACAAAAAACCTGCTATTTTAAACCTCCGAGAAAGTACAAAATAACCAACATTTTCTATACAGTACTTTTTCACTCGTAGGCACCTGACGTTCTGTGATGTAACTGAAAATGGCACAGATTTTTTTTTTTTCTTTTTTAAAGAGAGATCACAAGTAGGCAGAGAGGCAGGCAGAGAGAGAGAGGGAAGCAGACTCCCCGTTCAGCAGAGAGCCCGATGTGGGGCTCGACCCCAGGACCCTGAGATCATGACCTGAGCTGAAGGCAGAGGCTTAACCCACTGAGCCACCCAGGCGCCCCAAAAAATGGCACAGATTTTTAAACTTCATTTTCTATTTGTTCATTATGACATATGGAATACAACTCAGTTCTTTTTTTAAGAATTTATTTATTTGAAAGATTGCGCACACAGGCGTGCAAGTGGAGGGAGGGGCAGAGGGAGAGACAATCTCCAGCAGACTCTCTGCTGAGAGCACAGCCTGACACAGGGACTGATCCCACAACCATGACCTGAGCCGAAACCAAAAGTCGGGCCCTCAACAAACTAAGCCACCCCGGCACCCCACATCTGAGTTCTACATCCACCGAATCCACTGACCTTCCTAAATTCCACACTGTTTTACTTAAAAATAATAAGACAGGTTTTTAGTAACACTGAAAGACATTATCTGTGGGAGGGAAAGAGCTTTATTTTTTTTGCATGTGTGTGTGTATGTTTAAAGATTTTATTTATTTGTGATAGAGAGAGCACAAGCCGGGGGATCAGGAGAAGGAGAAGCAGGCTCCCCATTGAGCAAGGAGCCCAATGTGGGACTAGATCCCAGGACCCTAAAATCATGACCTGAGCTGAAGGCAGACACTTGACCTAGTAAAAGAGCCTTGGAATCTGACATAACTTGGCTTCAAATCTCAGCTCTGCCATTTATTAGTTGTGTGACCAAGGGACTTAATTTTCCTGTCATAAAGGAACAATAACATTGCCTTAAATGATTTATTTAATGTTAGGATTAAATAAGACAATTATTTGCATAATACCTTAGTAGTGCCAATAACTTTAAGACTGATTACACCCCCTTCAGGTACTTCTGAGAAAGAGAAAAACCAGCTTCCCTGTACTGGATGGCAAACATGTTTTGAACTTCATTTGAACGCTAATAAATTTTGTATAGTTTATGGTAACAGGCTAACCACAACATTAAATGAACTATTCTGGACATTTGCCATATAAAAATACAAAAAAATTTTTTTAAAGATTTTATTTATATATTTGACAGAGAGAGAGATCACACGTAGGCAGAGAGGCAGAGAGAAAGAGAGAAGGAAGCAGGTTTCCTGCTGAGCAGAGAGCCCGAAGTGGGGCTCAATCCCAGGACCCTGAGATCATGACCCGAGCCAAAGGCAGAGGCTTAACCCACTGAGCCACCCAGGCACCCCATAAAAATACAAAATTAAAAAAAAAAAAAAACAAACAAACAACTTTGTATCAGCAACCTTAGGAATGTAATAATTATAACACTATTGGAAAAGTCCAATTATTCCCACTGTTCCGGAGCCAACTTCAAATAAAGCTACAATCACTTATAAGACTTAGTAGAGAGTCTACCTTCCTTCTCCCCACCCTCCCAAACTATCCTTACAACCCCAAGCACTTAGCAGTATATAACACATTTTCACATCTATTACACCCTTTTTGATTCTCAGAACTTCCTAAGAGGAAAAAAGCCTTATAACTGACATTTCACAAATAAAAAATGCTAGGTTCAGATAGGTCATTTAACTTGCCCAAGGTCACCTAGCAAGTGGGTCATAGAGACAAAATTAAGCTTTTTGTCTTGCAGTGATCATTCCGTTATTCAACAGGATTCTATTCTCAAATTTAAACTAACATAAACGAAAACCCTGAGAGCACTAATCAAGTTTATAATCACTAGCTATCCAATCTGAGAATAGTTTAACCCGCTTTACCTTCGGCTGCCCTATCTACACAAAATAAAGACCACAAAAAAACCTCCTTCATAGGATCGTAACACAGAATAAAACAGCGTATATAAATAACTTAGCATAGTACCTGGAACATACATAGTAAGTATTTGCTATATGGTAACTATATTCTGAACTATGAAGATGCCAAATTTTAATTTCTGGTCACCCCCCTCTCCAACAAAACCCCACTCCCCCAGGCATGGGAGTGCTAGTATCATCAAAAAACCTTTCCTGGCCTGAAAAGAATGACAGAACCTCTGCGATGGAAGATAACTAAGAAGTTATCCAACTGACAAAATCTAAGAATCCTTCCTACTGAATAAATAAAAGGACTGATTCTTCTTGGTTATATCAGATGATAATTAGGATTACTCAGTACATGAAAAAAAATATACAGTCAGTCCAATACATGAAAAAACTATTGCTTTCATTTTCACTGATTCATTTTTGCTCTTTGACTATACTGCTTGGTTCCCTGACTCATGTTCAGAATTAAGTACATAAGAAAACGTATATCTATTTTCAAATTTTGAATAAAATGATGGCCTAAACAGCATCCCTTAATTTGGGTCCTAATTTTTAATGCACAGTAATGAAACACAAGCTACAAAAACAAGGTTTTTTTGTTGAATTTTTAACATCTTTTCTGACTAAAATATGTTTACTGAGTAAATTTAAATACAGAAAAGCCCAAAAAAGTTGAGTTTCACTTCCCAATGTAATCTTAGATTTTTTTTCTTAAGTATACAAAATACAAGAAATTCAGAACTAGTCACCTCTCACTGAAGATACTGTATGCACCATTCCATCAGAATACCACTAACGTGCTATGGAGCACAAAAAAAAAGAAGGGGAAATGTAAAGTCTTTATCTACAGATGGGTCAGCGGAGAATATGGGAGGGTGTGATTCTGTGACAAACATTCAAAAGCAAGCCAGTATTTAGAGGATATCTTAATATACTTGGAAATGTATCAAAAAAGGTGGACTGATAGGTAAATGAAAGAACAGATCTGTGATAATTTAAGTACAGTAAAATGTTAGTGGAAGAATCTGAGTGTTCACTGAAAAATTCTTACAACTTGTCTAAATGTTTGCAATTTTTCACAATAAAATGTTAGAAAAGCCAACCAGCTGGCTCTCACTTGTACCAAAAGCTGCATGCAAGTAAAGTTTACAACACAATATTGTGCCGCACCATACCCTTGTCAAAAAGCATTTGTCAGTTTGGTTTTCACATACAGTTTTAAAAATCAAGATATAGACCAATTGTTCAGTGAAACAGATCAAGGAATATTTGATGGAAAGTTTTACAAAATTAGCATTAGCCTTTCAGAATGGAAAAGAGAAACTGAACAGGATATACAAATTGGTATTATGAGAGAAAGATGACTAAGTTAGAAATATGGCAGAAGATAGCGGGATAGCAATTTGTATTTTAGGAGGCAGTGAACTAACTGGAGAAAGCTATCAGGTCCATACTTTAAAAAATAATGGGGTACAGTCAGGGGTGACTAAGTTCAACAGACATAGCAGTTAATGCCATGAAATGAACTGAAGGAGAAAAAGCAGAAGAAAGTATTCTACTAATGTTACTTACGGTATCATTGTGAGGAAAATAAGCACACCATGTTATCAAGGCTACCACTGAAGTCAAGGTGTCAAGTTACAAATCAATTACAGTCATCAACCAGTTGCAAGATGTATACTGACAAGTCAGTCTGAGACAGTATCTACCATATCGGTAATTTACCCTGTATCAGGCAGTGAGCTAAATGTTTCCTGTTGTCTTATTTAAGCCTCCTTATGTCTCCATGACACAATTATTATACCTCTATTTCACAGGGGGAAAATAAGGCTAAGAGTAACTAAATAACCTGCATTAGGCTGCCCAACTAGTAATGGAGCCAGGTTTCAAAGCAGGTTCCTTCTATTCAGAAGCCTTTGCTCCAATACCTTTCTGTTCTAATGCCACCCAAGACACTAGGATGATCCCATAATCTCTCCAGGGCCATCAGGAACTCCAAGAAGCTCCTTCATTATCATAATGGGAAATCACTGCCTTCAATAAACTGATATTATAGTTAGGGAAAACAGGCACATATCAAAATATAGATAAATCAAGTTTATTTTTACAAATTAAAAAAAGGAGTAAGAAAAGAGGTATCATAAGGCAGTAATCATTAATTACCACATTCACAACATGAGTTTAAGAACGACTTGGTAAGATTTATTTATCGTTGGGGTTCTGTTTTTAAATTATCAATGACCTTAATCTCCAATCTATTTTAGTGACCCTTCCACGCCCTATACTTATCATCACCCAAAAGTGCTCAGCTTCTAAAATCCTGAATTCTAATACTCTACTTTCTGATGATAACTCTACAACCTCCCCTAACCCATTAAGGAGAAATATACTTAAAGACAAAAAGAATATAAAGTTTAAAAAAAAAGAAAAACTCGAGTTCAAATATGGGCTTCTACCTCTTCCTAAATCCTTGGGAAATTATTTAATCTCTCTGACTTTGATGTAACATAGGAATAAGTGACAGTAATACCTACATCCCACCGTTGTGAGGTCAGACATAATGTCTGTCAAGACCCTGGGAGGAGGGCAGGTGCACATGAGACACTCAATACATGTTTCTTCCCTTCCCAGATCCACCTCCCAATCTCACAGCCTCCGATCTCACTCTCACCCTACACACTGCTACCCCACTGTTATCTTTCACTAAAATCTGACTCAGATACTACCCTCTCCTCCTTCATTGGTTTCCCTTTCTTTCTCAGTCAACAAACATTTATTGAGCAGCAGCAACTGTGCCAGGTGCTAAGGAAGGTTTCCCCCTCTCTTGTTAGATAAAATCCAAGCTCCTAAATACAGCATCCAAACCTCTTCTTTAGCCTCATCGCCCACCACACTCTGCTCATGCACCAATACCACTCAGTTTAAGCTTCAGCAACAATGAATTACTGTTAGCTTATACCCACAGAATTACACTGGTCTACCTATATACATTCTGTTCCATCTACCTAGAAATAAATGCTGACAGCATGCATTTCACGTTAGACACTACCCTAAGGTCTAGGGATATCTATAAAAAACACAGCCCTGGTTCTCATAGTCTAATGAGAGAGGAAGAAAAACCATTACAATAAAAACGCTAATCTGCACCCAGAATGACTTTAAAAACAAACCACTATCATGCCTCTGCTTAAACCATTCCAATGGCTTCCAACTGCCCTTAAAAGAGAATTAGGGTCTTTCATTATCTGCAGAGGTCATCAACCCATCTTCAACAAACATTAGGCACACTGGCCCTTTCCAAGCTCCTCAAAGACACTATGCTCCTTCTCACATCTAAATACTCCCACATGCTGTTCCTTCTACCCGGAACACCTCTTCCCAGACCCACCCCCACCTCAACCTGTTTCAGATATCAACATCATTTCCTTAGGAGAGAACTCCGTGACCATTCACAATCCACATACAAATTTCATAGCTCCCTATGCTTAGCCTGTGGAGTCATTACCACAATTGCTTACTGGATGTTTGTCTTCCCCAAATGGACTATAAACTCTATAAAAGCTGCATCTTGTCTGACTCATTCACTGCTATATCCCAGCAACCAGCCCAATAACTAGCACATAGTGCATATTACATATTCTCTATTTGTTGAGCTAAAGAATGAATGACTGTAGCAAATGTGAGTGTCTTAAGGACTAGGAGTTCATTCCTGTCATGAAATGGAAGGTCCTATCAATAATACACATTACTCTTCAAATTTTGAGGAACTTCATTCATACAGATATTCGAACATCTTCCAGATTTTTTTTAAGACTGTATTTATTTATTTGAGAGAGAGAGCATGAGCAAGAGTGCACAAAAAAGAGCACAGTGTGTTGGGGGTGCAGGGGAAGCAGGCTCCCCGCTGAGCAAGAAGCCCACTTCTGGACTCAATCCTGGACCCTGGGATCATGACATGAGACAAAGGCAGATGCTTAACCAACTGAGCAACTCAGGTGCCCCCTTCCAGAAGTTTTAACAGGACTGTATTATATATCATAAACTTGGAACTTCTCAAGCTGGTCTGATCAACCAGTACTCCCTGGAAGCGGACCAAACAGAACAGAGATTAAGATGGAGGTTCTAGAGTTGAGGAATTTTCCCAGTTCTGTCACTTCCCAGCTGGGACCTATCTTGATTCAGCACCTCCACATATAAAATGGGGAAAATAGCAGCACTTATTTTGTCAGATGGCAACAAGGATTAAAGACTGCCTGAGACAGAGTAAGCGCTCAGGCAATCAGTTACTATTAGTGTAGCTGTTGCTGGGGATTTACTTCATACCAGATGCCACAATGGGTGATTCTGATAAAGCAACAACTAAACCAGACATGGTCCCATTTCTCATATTTATTCAATAAATATGTACTGAGTACCTACTGTACCACTCCAGGTGCTAAACAATCACAGTCCCCGCCCTAACGAAGTGTAAATCCTTGGGGAAAAGACAGCTGTTAAATAAATGCCTCAGGGGCACCTGAGGTTAAGTTTTGACTCTTAGTTTCAGTTAAGTGTCTGACTCTTGGTTTCGGCTCAGGTCATTATCTCAGGGTCATGAGCTCAAGCCCCGAATTTGGCTCCGCACCAGAGCTCAGAGTCTGCTTGTCCCTCTCCCGCACATGTGCTTGCATGCTGGCTCGCTCTCTCTCGATTCTCCAAAATAAATAAAATCTTTATAAAATAATAAATAGGGATGCCTGGGTGGCTCAGCTGGTTGGACGACTGCCTTCGGCTCAGGTCATGATCCCGGAGTCCCAGCTCCATGGGGAGTCTGCTTCTCCCTCTGACCTTCTCCTCGCTCATGTTCTCTCTCACTGTCTCTCTCTCAAATAAATAAATAAATAAAATCTTAAAGTAAAATAAAATAATAAATAAATGCCTCAGATAAATACAAACATGAACACACAATGCGTGTTACTTCACACAACCAAAGACTTCACACACTGTATTAATGTGAGTACTAAGGGATTTATAATTTACTCAATGTCAAGGAATCACTACACAATTTGTTTCACAAGTACTCAGTTACCCTCATTCCATGAAAATCTAAGACCCTGCTCAAAGACTACCAAATAGAAGACACTGAATAAATCGTTGTTGATTAACTCCAAAGGTAAAGAATTAGCCACAACGTCTTTAATTACCTGCTCTGGAAACAAAAATCTAACATTTCTCCTGTTGCTTAAGAAAAAGTACTATTCCCATTTAACAAAGACAACTGATATATGCCAAGTATACCCCAATAAAACTGTAAGGAAAAAAAAAGGAACAAAGGGTATAATGGTGGGGAGGCTGGATAGCTCAGTCAGCTAGGCCTGGAGACTCTTGGTTTCAACTCAGGTCACGATCTCACAGTCATGGGATCCACCCCATGTTGGGCTCTACACTCAGTGCAGAGTCTGCTTCAGACTCTCTCTCCCCCTTCCTCCCACTCGATCTCTCCCCCTTCCTCCCACTCGATCACTCGCTCTCAAATAAATAAAATCTTTTTAAAAAATTCCTTTGTAAACAAATATGAAACATTTTTTAAAAATGTTTCATATTGTTTAAAAATTTTTTTAAATTTTAAATTATTTTAAAAAATATTTTTAAAAAACGCCATTTTTTAAAAAAGGTATAATGGGTCCAACCGTTTTCCCCCACCATCAAATTAGTACTTTTTAAAGGATTTCTTGCCCTTTCTAAAGCTAGGTAAATCATTCACTGTTGACCATTGGTGACAGGAATCCTCCCACTACTCTTTCTCCCAGAAATAAAATATCTCAGATCATGCTAGTCTGGCAGCAGTTAAGGTACAGGATAAAATTATTTCAGAGCATGCAGGGACACTAATGGTTACACTTCCCCCCAACTAATGGTTTCTACAAAAAAGTTTTAATGCAACTTTACTTATATGGGTGATTCAGGTAAATGTCAAAACAGATGACTTCAAATAACTAATATGTAGTGGTACTGGGAGGCCAAAATGCCTTACTACAAGCCCATTAACTTTCTGTTTTAAAAAACAAAATATATGTCCTTTATAGAAACTTCAAAAATACTTAAAAAAAAAAAAAAAAGAAAGAAAGAAAGAAAAAAAGAAGAAGAAGAAAATACCCATATTCCCCATATTCCATAGTTTCCTTTCAGGGTGTATCCTTCCCGTCTTTAAAATAATGTTTTTGACAAGCCCATCAGAATTTTCAATTGGGATGTCAAAAAGTCATCTCACCACCCTAACAGTGTCAAACTACCAACACACTTACTCTTATACAGTGGACAGAATTTCAACTTTTTTTTAAATGTAAACATTAAAAATAACTCCCCTGCTCAAAACCCTTCAGTGGTTTTTCCTTTACACTGGGAGTAAAATCCAAACTCCTTCACCTGACTTCCACAGTCCTCCATGATCTGATCCTGCTTACCTCTCTGCTGTCACATCCTATGGGTCTCCGCTCCAGCCACACCAGCCTTCCTGCAATGACTTAAACCTCACAATCTAATTCTCACCTCAGACTCTTCTCACTGCTGTTTCCCTCTCCTAAAATAACCTCACTCCCTCTCTTCACTCAGATGTCATCTCCTTAGAAAAGCCCTGACACCCTATCTAAAACAGTCATTTTTACTCCCAGTTACCTGCTTTTATTTTCAATCTCTAACCAAAATATTTACCTGTTACCTGAGTATTGTTTGTTTTTTTACCAGCAGACTGTCAGTTCCAAAAAAGCAGGGCTTTGCCTAGTTCACTACCTAGACACACTAGGTGCTCAATAAACATTTAAGTGAATAAACACATGAACAAATGAATTCTATGGCAGATTACTTATTAGTTGTTCTAACATTCACTTACTTTTACATTTAAACACAAAGGAACTATGAATCTGAGGAAAAACCGTTTTACTAAATACTTACTTGGTTGATCTGCATAAGTTCTCAGAGGCACTGCAGAAACTCCCTGTAAGCCATGAGATATTCGACTAAAATGGCCTCTCTGGAAAAAGAAAAAAAAAAAAATGTTGTATTATGTAGAATATGAATTCAAAACAGAACTCCTGAAGGTCAATGAAAATGTAAGGACTTGGGAGCAAATATGTCAAGCACTTATTATTTATGTATCTTCCATTGCTACACAGAGGTTACATATCAATTTCTCTCTCTTTTTTTAAGATTTTATTTATTTCTTTGTCAGAGAGAGAGAGAAAGGGAGCACAAACAGGGAGAGCAGCAGGCAGAGGGAAAAGCAGGCTCCCCGCCAAGCATGGAGCCCAATGGGGGACTCAAGCCCGGGACCCAGGTATCATGACCTGAGTTGAAGGCAGCCGCTTAACCAACTGAGCCACCCAGGTGTCCCAATTTCTCCTCTTTCATCACAACAATTACTTAAACTTTAGAACCCCAGTTCCCCATACTATCTTTTCATTATGAATATTCAATAAACCATCTCAGAGCAATATAGGCTAAAGCCCAACAAATAAAGTTATTCAGTGGTATTAGTGTTACTACATTTTCAGAAAGCATGGCTAATTTTTGGTGCCAGGGATTTTAATGTCACAATTAAGACTCTTAAAAGTTCTAGGGGCACCTGGGTGGCGGTTAAGTGTCTGCCTTTGGCTTAGGTCATGATCTCAGGGTCCTGGGACAGAGCCCCACGCCAGGCTCCCTGCTCACCCAGGAGCCTACTTCTCCCTCTGCCTCTTCCCCCACCCCAGGCTCGTGTGCACTGGCTCACTCTCTCTCTCTCTCAAATAAATACCTTTTTTTAAAAAGGGCTCTTAAAGTTCTAACTTAAGTACTCAATAATCTTTACATTACAATCCTCTACTTGTAATTATTGTTTCCTAACTCAAACTACCTGACCCCCTCTATAAAAATGCTCCTGAACAGTTAATTGGGAATAGAAAATTAGACAAGATCACTTGGGAAAATGCACTATTACTGACATTCAAGAGCTCCTACAATTCCACAAAGTGCATCATAATCCCCACAACAATCTCTATGAATGTCCGCTCTTTTCTATGAACAGTGAAACAAAGAAACAATGCAAATAGCTCTTATGGGAGGCAGTGATGAAACCCTCACTCATGTAGCAATGTTCTCTCCTCCAAGGCAACGCAAAGCACCTGAGATCAGAACAGCAAACCAAAAAGGAGCAACGTCAGTCCTAACTTCTAGTCCCAGTTCTGCCGCTGCCTAGAAGTATGATTACACTAACTCTCAGGAGCACAGATCACTCATGTTAGGAACCAAAGAGACCGACTACTATGCTACCTTTAAGGTATCCACCAATGCAGTACCCAGCCACGATCCCGCATGTACACAATCCGGCTGTATTCGGTACGTGGACGAAGAGGGAAAGTTGTCCTAACGGTAAGCAGCTGCGATTAAAAATGCAAGCCTCTAGGAGAGAAGGCAGTGAACACTAGCTGAAAGCTGCAAACAATGAGGAGGCTTTTGAGGAATTCCCAGGGCCACCTGTCAGTGCTGACTGCCTCTGGGTGTTTCAAGGAGTGGCCCCAAGGTTACCTGCCCAATGCCACGCTGGGGCTCGGATTAGGATTAGTAAAAGGTAGCGAGTATGAAAAGAGCAGACGGGACAAGTGCGATTTCTACTTCTTCTGACAAGGTAAAGCGGCCTGTGCATGACCCGCATGCTCCAAACGCGAGGCTTGCGGGCGGACTGCTGGCCGTCACACAACCGGCGGGGCGGCTTCACTGCACAGGTCCCCGCTCGGGCCGCCGTCGGGCCAGAGCCTGCTCAGGGGCGGGGCCGTGGGTGGTCCCGGCCACTCTGCCCGCCTCTCTCGACCCCACCAGCTAGGCCGCCTCCCGGACCCCGTCAGCGGGCACTTCTGCGCCTCTGGCTTGGCACAACCCCACTCGCTCGGCCCTCACCTTGGCCAAGGAGCAGTACACACGACTCCAGCTCTGCATCTTGCCTCTCAACTTTCCTTTCCGCCAGGGCTTCCCCGTCCGCTAAGCTCCTCGGCCGCCTCGCCAAGGTCTCCCCGCCCTGCGCATGCACAGGCGCAGCTTACGTCATGGGTCGGGAGCAGCGCGATTGGTCCGCGCCCTCGGGGCCTACGGGACTAGGCGTTTCTGTCAGGCGCGGAGTCGTGCGCTGTCGTAAGAAGCGTAGTGCTTTCTGGCAGCGCGGGATTGCGGTACCATTTTGCCGGTGGTATGGAAATGTGGGGAGTTGAAATGCGATCTTATACTTGGAGGACGAGATAAATAAACAAGACTATCGTTTGCTTCATGCACGCCGCAGAAAGCGAGGATTGAGAGGTTCTAGGTTGTGCTAAACTGAGGAATCTCAGCATTTTCCAGGCATCCCTTCCGCAGCAACCACATGAAGGATTAGGAGCATTACAGTTAATTGGATGAGGCCCTGAGAGGTTAATACCCCCGAGGTCGCGCAGAGGAAAGATGACTGCTTTATAACTAACCTCTCCCCGCAAAGTAAACGCTGTGTAAGGGATGGGGCTGCAGACGTTCCATCACCAACATCCTAATCTAAGCTAACTGGCAAAACAGAAAACACTCTCTTTTCTCTGTTCGAGCAAATTAAAATTCGGTGGGGTCATGGATGAGATTTAGGTTTCCATGAGGAACCAAGAAAACATTGTCGTCAAGACTGAGTATTGAGATTTAAGGTCTGATTCTTGTTTTGTGATAGCTATATAAACTAAAACCTGTGCATTTCTTGACGTTTACTACCCAGGCACTGTGCTGGGCTCTGTGGATTTAGACATTAGAAATGACACATTACCTAGCTATGCTCAGTCTTAGGGGAAAAGGTAGGAATGGTGTTTATTTAGTGTTTGCTAGTAGTCACCCAAATTCCATTCTCCCTGTCCTTCCTTTTGTACATAGCTTTTTAGCCATTTTAACCATTTTCATGGCTTTAGCACCTGCCTACATACACAGATAACTTCTAGATCCTTATCTCCAGTCTGTACTTTTCTCCAAATCTTTAATTCCATATTTTCAATTGTCTGCTGAGCATATCCAACTGGGTAATCCTGCCAGCACCTTAGTTTCAATTATCCAGTATCTTATTTTAAAATGCATATTTTCTCACTTATATTTATGATTAATGATACCTCCAAAGAGCCATAGTAAAAATTGTGCAGCCATTCTCAACTCCTGCCTTTAGTCCATTATCTAATGGGTCACTGTTTTAGTTGCTACCCCTAGAAGGAGGCCCAGAGATAAGCATTTGAGTGCAGCGAGTTTGTTTGAGAGATGATCCAAGCAAGCATCCATAGGAGATGAAAAAGGGACGGTAACATTCAGATATGTTAATGAGTAGATCACCACTGTGAACAATTGTGCTCAGACTCACCGGAGACCTCTGGGAGATAACATAGTACATACTTCAAAGTTGTCCTACTCAAAATACATCCATCAACTTCTATCAGTCATTAGCTAAGGACTTCTCCCAGGGATTTCAATTCCCTGGCACTTTTGACTTGTCCAAGATAGGGGCTAAGTGAGCACCAGCAGCCAGAAAAATCTCTCAGGCAGAGTCTCTGGTGCTTGCAATAAGAAGGCCAAGCATTTATTGCGCATGCCACACGGTACAGAATTTTGTGCAGGACACTGAAATGCCAGAGATGCCAGAACAATCCATTTGAGGTTTTCAATAGTTACTGGAAACACAAGTCTTAGGACTGAGAAACTCTGGGCATGGATTTGAAAGTTTCCTGGTGTATGGACAGTGATTGACACTTTTAGGGATAGATGCATTCTCAAAGGATAACACTTGAAACATCTTCTAAGGAGAGTGAGAAAGAGCAGTCATAGAGATTGTACACTTAATACAGTGCTTGGCATGAAGCACGTCCAAGTACTATTTGTTAAATTACTTTTATTTGCCCCCATATACTGCCACTGTCCTCCAAACTGCCTCAAAGGCAGAACTGGTGATGACTACACAGTGGGATTTAAGGGATCCTTTTCTGGCCCTTCCCTTAAAATATTTCTACACCACCCAGCCACTACCCTAATTCCTGGCCCGAAGGCTTCCCATTAAGGGATGCATTCCTATTGTTCCTCTTCCAAATGTTCTCTATTAAAATAAGCAATCAGTTGCTGGCTACAATTCTCCCCTTAGGGAAAAGAGAGTAAGGGAATAAACATCTGTTGAGCAGATGTTCTAAAACCCTGTGCTAGAGGTTTTCCATCATTTATCCACTTAATTCTCACCCCAGCCATGTGAACTGATTTATCAGTGGATCTTCTGACCGGTTGGCAAAAGAAATCAGATCCTCAAGTGAGTGGAGGGATTATTCTGGAACCCTTCCCTGCTGACCAGTCCTGGGATGGGGGCGGGGAGGGATAGAGCAGAGTCAATGACAAGTGACCATCAGGTGAAGGGCACAGACAGAAAGAAAAGAGGAGCCCAAATGGGTGAGAAGTCAAAGACTTCCACCTGACATTCGTAGTATGAGTCGTAACCACTGCAGTAAGAAGTAAGCACTCTAATAACCATCTGAATTGTCCATAGGCTTTCTTTATCCAATCACTTCTTCACTGACCCAATAATCACTGAGGGTCCGCTGTGGGCTGAGTGCTGTATTAAAACCTGGGGAAGCAGCCCAGAACAAAAACTAGACCCAGTCCTTGCCCTCCTGTAGTTTATATCCTAATGCGGATATAGCATATAAAACAGTGATGTCTATTCGTGAGAAGTGCTACAGTGATCTAAGAGGGGAGTTGAGCTAGTTGGACTTGGACACAGAAGTCGCCCCTAATAAAGTGACTGATGCTTGAAATGAGATCCAAACAGTGAGAAGTGTTCCTGGCAGTAAGCCTTACCATCATGCTCATTTGACAGATGGGAAAGAATGTTGTGAGGGAAACTGGACTGACAATCAGGGGACCCAAGTTCTAGACATAACTGCTCTTCACTTTCTGTGCAATCCAGTGTAAGTCATCTCTTGGGACCTTTGTTTCCCAAACTTTAAAATGGGGGCTACAAGATCCTTTCTAGCTGTAAAGGTGTTCCACTGAGTTGCTAAGAGTTGGCTTGTAGAGAACCATGTTTAACAGTCACAGTAGCTCTTGGTAGTGGATGTTTCTTACTTTGGGGCTGTTGTTTATCGGAATCCCCTTTTTATGTTTGAGGGATCGCCACCATGTGAGACCAGACTGCACTAGGAAGCCCAAATGGCCACCCCTGGCTCTCCTGGGTGCCCCCAGCCAGGAGAACCAGGCACAGAACCTCAGCCAATCCAATGAGTCCAAAGGCATGGAGCAAAGACACTGGCAATTTGGGATTCATCCTGCTGGTGGCTGCAGTGACTCCAATGTCCGTGGAGCTGGTGGCAATGATGGGGTCCTATTCAGACCCTTCCAGTGGAAAATCTCATCTGGAGCTGTCTAGCTCCCTGCCTCCTTCTCAAAACCACATTGGGTCTGTGGCTCTCAGCCTACCAATAAATTCCTTTTGGAAAAAATGAACCAGAGATGATTTCTGAGATTACTTGCAACCCAGAATCATGAATGGTACACAACCATGTTTTGAAAAACTGCCAGACGCTTTAAATGAACTAGTTAAAAAAAAAAAAAATCTCATAACACTGCAAGACAGGTATTGTTAACCTTAGTTTTTAGGGAAGGTAGCAGAAGCTCAGAGCATTTATATAACGAAGCTAAGGTCCTGCAGTCACTAAGTGACAAACCCCAGCGTGCTCTGGCTCACCCCACATTTACGTGACATCCATTCTTGCTGGAAACCATACTAATTGGTAGGGAACAGAGTTCCTTGGAGCATCTTTTTTCTTTCCCCATCTCTTGTGAAACTAACCAGCTCATATGGGCCCAGAGTTACTGCCCTACAGCCCCCACTTTTGGAAATTTTGTGGTTTTATTGAGGAAATAACCGTTCTACCATTTCTTAATCTTCTCCTTTTTTTCCCCTGAGCAATTTTATTTATTTAGATGATGTTTAAACAGCAACAACAAAATCGTATCAAATTGCTAACCTAAGCAGTCGTGGGTGATTGAGTAGGAAATAATGAGTTAAACTGTGTAGTTAACAGTGGGTGGCTGTTACTACCCACTGTACTACAGAAAATAATTGAGTCAAAAGTGTCTAGTACCACCTGCCCAGTAGGGGCCAGTGTTCTCCCATTATGTCCCTCGCTCCTGCCTCACTTCTGCAAAAGCAGGAAACTCCACCAAGGAAATGTATATGGTGGTGTAAGAAGGTAGGGACTGACCGTTCATGCTTCAAAATGATCCTAAATACGAAGATATTAGGCCATTGGTGCACAGAATCAATAAATTAACAAGGGCCAAGCGTTTATTGCGCATGTCACACGGTACAGAATTTTGTGCAGGACACTGAAAGGAAGGCAGACACATTATCACAAATCTCTCTGTATCAGAAGCTCCCCACCTAGTTGAGGAGATCAGGCAATGTCTTTAAACAAAACATAACACTCTCTCAGCAAGGACCGTCCTGACACCCTAATGAATAACAGCTCTGCCTTTCAACTCCCCCCAACCCTGACCCCCAGCTTCTCCTCCTCTCTACTCCCACTTCATTTTGTTCCATGGCCCTGACCATCTTCTAGCCTCCTGTGGAATTATTTTCTGTTTATTTTGTAAATCTTTCTGCTGCCGCAAGGATCTAAGCTCCCCGAGGGCTAAGATTCCTGTTGGTTTTGTTCGCTGATAGAACCCCAAAGCCTAGTACAGCGACTTGCACGTAAGAGGCACTCCAAAAGCATTACTAAGTGCATGAAAGTAAGCAGAAAAAATAAGAGCTACAGGAATTTGAAGGTGGAAAGATCACAACAGGCTAGGACCTGAGGGAACTCTCCATGCAAGATCTAATTACTTCAATTGGTCTTTGAAGGTGGTAGGATATTGACAGAAGAGAGGAAAACCAACTAGAATATGATTTCTCAGGCATGGAGACATCTGGGCAAATAGGAATAAGGGACAAAAAAAGCATAGTAATTTATGGTGTGGTATAGGGAAA